ATTAGCTCATCCAATGTCGAGTGTCTGCTCTGACGGAAAGGCAGACCACTCAGGGATCGAATCCTGGACTCTCCGGGTGGTAAACGAGTACATTATCCGCAAATCCAACCCGACTTCCCGGGCAGCCCCATTATTATTACGTTGCATCTTACCCGATAATGCTTGCGGCGACTTTGCTTTAAATGCGCCTAAGTGCGTTATTCGATCCGGCAAGTGTTTCTTCGTCTGGCTGTCAGCTAACGATTGCATGTATATTTAATCTGTACCAAATACAGGCGACACCCATTTTCCAGACAGTTTTCGTTACATCCCGAAAGTACCAACTGTCTTCTGCGCCGTTGTCTCTTGTTCTAATCTTGCTTCCCATACCGAAATTTCTGCTGCCTCTCTGTCCCTTTTTCTGCCCGTACGGATTGCGCTATTATTCATTGTACTTTTTGATTAATTAATTTTTGTTACCCATTTATTCATAGAACCGGTTCTCAATACAGCATCTGCTGCTCTTATCTGTCTGTTACTACTGCCTACTCAATAAGAACTGCGTATGGGCCGAGAGCTCCAATCGTTATGTAGGACCCTTAGCCGCCCGGGTCCCACAGACCTCTTTTTCACTCAAAACTCATACATATCGAAATGTGTGTCGCCAATGGGAAGGATGACGAATCTTCCTTACACTAGGCTCCAAAGCAATTATGAAATAATTAATGGATGAGATTATCCTACGTGCACTCTATCAAAATTTTGGAATACTCACGCTTTTACCACAAATTTATTCGAATAGTAGGCAGCAGTAAACGGCTTCATCAAGAGGTGCTAAATTCCATCAAAGACGAACCTACAAACAGGTCTAACTTCTCCCCCACAAATATTCATCAATGGTCACGATGAAACTGCCGTGACAGCCAGTGTTGTCGTCAGAATCATTGGAAATGATTCTGAGATGATGGATGGAGTGCATTTCTCATAAGGTTGCTGAAAACTCTGATGGCCCACGACCATTTAGCCTCTGGGGCTCATCAGGTAGGCGCAGTCCCCGAGTTTCCATCAACCTTGTGTTCTACTTGAGTTCGAATTGTACGAACTTTGAAAGGAGACTCACCTGGAACCTAGATGAATTTCTTTGCGGCTGTACGCAGCTTATGTACTCTGAATCTTTCTGTCACTATCTTTGGTTTTTGTGCCTGCTTCCAGTCTCTTAATTCAATACTACTCATGAGATTGCTGCAAACTCCTCGACCTTGTGAGTGGTGCATTTCGTATCGCGAACCGACACATGAGACAGCCAAGTGCAGCACATTCAGTTGCTTAAAAACAACATAAGCGAGAGATTCAGCTGGTTTCCAGGTAGGTATCCCGTTCAAGACCAGGTTGGTATACAAATGACTGCATTTCGCTAATTCTGAGGTAATGTTTCTGAACAGCTGGTTGATTATTCTCAAAAGTGACCACTGTATTGAATGTATAGGAGACATCGTGTCCATCTTTCTGAGTTCCGGCGCAAACTTTGGTCAGGTTTTAGAGTCATGGCTGTTGCTATCTTTGCACACGCAATGTATGGCATGTTCCCCGGTGTCTGAATAACTGGAAGGCGGGGTAAATCTTGGCTAGTCCAACGCAGAACCCAGCGGTTACAGAAATGAAATCTTTGAGCTACTGTACTGCATTGTTCAGCTACCATATCGCATCGTCTAATCGGGACAACTGGATGATTAACCGCTTATTATCCTGTCCGAGGGGGTTGCCGTCCCATTCATAAGGAAACCACTAAAACAATGGAGGGCAGTGTATACACTAAGCCTCGGGTGGCTAGCAGATACTTCACTCACAGGTCAGTGTATTCTGAGATAGACGTAACCCTATATGCGATAAGCATAAATCCGGCCTCAGTGCGTGTGACTTCGATTGCAGTTAGGGTAACTCGAGCGCGAAGCTTCCGAGTATTCGTTTTACCGAGTGATTCTGGTCCTGCATAGGGTTAACGGGGGTGGCCTTTCAACCATACTCCGTCCCTTAATACATGCAACGGACAGACAGCTCGAAACAGATGACGGAGCCGCATAAGCTGAGGTATAACTAGGGCAGTTGGTTTATCTGACGGCACTCGGAATTCGTACATCTGACAATGGTGATACATGACAAGACCACACAATCGAGTAAAACAAAACCTGGACGCAAGTGCACGCCGCATGAAGTGGAGTAGAACAAGTCGTTAGGGAAGTAAAACTTCAAAGAATAGACATTGCTGTAAGGGTTGGATGCAGCCCCTTGACGGCTGCTTACTGATGTGGTGTAATGTACCCCCAACCCGAGGTAGTCTACCATGAAACCGTTAGGTCGGAGATCCAATAGAGAAATTAAGCACCAGTGGACCATCATAAGTCACTGAGTGGGGTCGGGATGGTAACATATAATTGGCCATCAAAATGCGATAATAGATATCTTTTGGCTAAATTTGTTGAAGAGGGACACCACTTGGGACGTGTGCTCAATAAGAGATGAGTTCACTCATTAAGACAACCTCAAACATTGATCGAAAAGCTGGTATCATGCACTGCGTGATGTAGTGATCCTGAGAACAACTCTCACTAGAAGCTCGTTCAACTACGCCGGGAACACCAGAGGTGATAGTCAGACAGCAGCGAACCTCCTCATTAAAACTAATAGTCTTATTAGGCGACCTCGATGCAACTTCGCACTGTCCTCTGTGTGTGAAGGTAGTGATGTGTTCCCCCGGATGACTAGCGGGCACGTATTCGTACAGCGGCAACGATAACCTCCCCCGACAAGAGGGTTTAGATGAGGTCGACTCTAGAAATCATACTCACATTGTCTGACAACTGACCATACGGTACAAATTAAGCTCGTGCTGATTGTTACCAAACGTTTCCGAAAAGTTAGTGCTCACTATGAATCAAGCGAATCCGCTACGCGAAGTGCAACGAGCAGTCGGGAACATAGTTCTTAGTCCCTGTGCCCCAGAATGTGTCAGCCAAGCCGATCACAGTATCGAATTGTCGGGTTCGACTAAGGTTCCTCAAGAAAACTCTCCGCCACCCGGGGGGTCACAGTTTTGTGTTGATGGCTTGAGTTAGTGTATTTCATACAACCACCCATCACGTCCTATAAACCATTCGGTTTTCCGTCCACCTCTATGTCCGGACCCACCATTCATCCCGTCCATTCAATGTCCGTGCTGTAACTGACTCGTTCTTTCGATGTATCACATGTCTCCAAAATATGAATTCAAAGCCATAATACGACCACACACTTCGTCCTACTAAGAAAGAGATCAGATATCCCACATTTTACTTTCTGAACTGTAATGCAGCGATTTGTGCATTAGTGGTGCGGGGTTGGGCAGTTAGCTGTAAACAACCGTTTTCACTGTATGAACGTCTGGTTCAGCTTCAATGCAGGTCGAATCGGTTTATACAGTCGTAAACACCAAAAAAAACTCCAGCTCTCAAGCTTAAAAAGGACGTCTTTTATCGAAATCTGTCACGGTTGTTCCGATCAGTAAGAAGGATAGATAGTATCTTAGAATGGTATGTTCGTAGGAGCTAGATGGCTAAGCTCGGAAGAAGCACATTCGGGTGGAAGCTTAAGAGTTGGTGTTCAGCGCACAAATAACAGAGAGGGAATTACTCATATGTGCTGAACATCCTCCATCCCTAGCCAATACGTTCTCCTAACACAAAAGCTGACATCGTGCTATTATATAGGCAGCAAGACACATGCCAACTGCGCAAATGACCGGACAACTTGCGTCGTTTACTGATGAAAAGCTGTTCCTTTTGGGGCACAAAAATCGATCCCGGTCTTAATGACGTGCGGAATCGGTTAGCAGTTAGCTTGACCTCGGAACTAGGTAGACCGATGCAAGGTTATTCAATCAACCCCATCGGGTTTCCATAGCTTATAAATTTCAAGCTGACCTGGCTAGGAAACTGGAGGTGATGCCCAGTCACGTTGAGGATAAAGAGCGGTTGAGAGACGAATAATGGTTTAAATGACGGTGTTTTTTTAAATTTNATAATGGTTTAATGACGGTGTTTTTTTTTAATTTTGTAACTGTCGGCTAAGGCCTGCTGACGAGGCCACACAAATATTGGATTTCGTCGCGATATTCGTGTTTCATTACTGCCAATGGCCATACTAGCATCCAGCAACCAGGATTACGTACACGAAGCTGGAAAGCAAAAAGCCCGAAGAATGATAGAACGCCGGTGGGTTACGAAGCAAACATAGAAGGCTTTTGCCGCCGGAAACATCCGCATCCTGTTTCAAATGGCCCAAAGAAAATGGTTTTGGCGAAACCATGTGCGAAAAAAGTAGTGGAAATTTCGACAAACATTCATTCGCATATCAATTTGGTTTTTACGGAAGTATCATCTGAAACTCTCGTTTGATATTCTTCAACAGAATGTGCTGCACAGAATCTGCCTCATGTTTCACTTGGTACGATATTGTAGTATATTTTCATACTACTTATAGAACTCCAAGGAAGAGGAAACCGGTCGCCGTCTGTCGAATTGTTCAGCAACTTCGTTAGTAGTTTCATTAGCGAGAATGGTAATTTATTCGCTGAGGCTTCTTACTAAGCGATGGTCATTTTTCCTTAGTCTGAAGATTTCTTGACTTTGTCGACTGTTAGGAACTACGGCAGTGTCTAGCGACCAAAGGTGTGCCTCCCAAATTTTATCACTAAGGTATACCAAACGAAATCCCACAAATGTGCACAGGCATGTGTTATGCTTTCACCTGAGCTCATCACCAGGGATGTAAGGCCATGCTCTTCCACTGTTGGTTCAATGCCCATGGAGCCGGCTTGAATTCACTGACAAGGGTAGAGTACATATTGCTTTGTAGATGAAAAACCTGACCTCTTCGCACTGCGTGTATGCATGGACCGTCGGTGACACCGAAAAACTGGCTAGGAGTGTTAGGAACCTCGAAATGGTGAGCCGATGGCCCAAGAAAGGAGAGACGATTCCACAATGAACGAGCGGATTTTTTTTCAGAGGTCACGATGAAACAGAATAAAATGGGCCAAACCAAATACCCCTGGTTTCTGGATGACAAACGTATACTGCCGGTGATACCAATAGGCTTCAAAATCTTGCTGCTAAACACTGCTGAAAGATGGGCGATTTGTTAGGTTGAACTATCCGACCAGCTGCCACATTCTACTTAGTACCCATCGAGAAATTTGATACGCTAGCTGAACCGATTCCTGAATGATTGTTTTGCTCAATTCAGTCGAGAGCTTACTGAACTCGCTTATACTGCTGACGCTTAGCTGGAGAATGATGTACCGTATGAAAACCAATGGTGCCCATTTGGACACAGCCAACCAATAGCCATGTCCCTCAGCTGACGTGACATCGTTCTCACTACTTCAAATCAAATGCTGGTCTGATGCAAGTATGCCACCGTTTCACTTGGGTTACACCCGAAAAATTCAGACTTCACGGACTTTGGACGTAGACAACCACCGTCATAAGTACACAGATGCCAAGCTGTTTAGTGCACGTCTAGACGCACAGAGTCCATCGGAAGTTGTATTGTCTTTGATTTCCGCTCCATGAATTCGCAAACCCAAGCTCCTGTTGAAGTTAGTATTAAATCCCTTCTGAGTCAAATGCTCCTTAGGGGCATAATCAATGATTGGAGTATCAGGTGACCCATAAACATGGAAACCGAAGTAGAACTACCTCACTATCTGTCACACCATGCAGAATGGACAGTGCTGGTCCGGTGCCGCAATCATGGGCAGGTCACCAGCGCATATCTCCTGGCCTGCCTGAGAATTTCCTCTTCGAACGCGACCGAAAACTTCGTATAGAGCAGCTGCATCGATGAAATCAAAGTCGAATTGAATAAAAGTACGGTCAATTAGGGCTCAGATAAAGGGTCATTTCAACCATTAGCCACAACATAGTCATTAAAATGGATTGTAAGTCGTGTTTTTCGTTAAAAACGCAGGTTAGTGCCAAGTTAGACATATTTTCCGAGTTAGTTCCTTGCACACTTATAAGCCAATTGTCTGTTTAACCAACATCACCTCACCGAGTGCTAGCATCCGGGGTATTCGTGGTTGCTGTCGGACTACTGACCCGTGACGGAGCTCTAGACAATGAACTTGGATTTGAAAACAAGCGAACGTCTTTTCTCCCCCATGTATCACGAAACTGCCGGTCCGGAGGAAACCCCACAGATCTGTTTACCGATGGAGATAAAATCCGCGGTCGGTGTTCTCTGGACTCATTTACCTCTAACTGGGCGAAAAGGACCAATTAAACATAACGGAGGAAGCTGATAATGGTGCTCAGTAGCGCATGCGTTCGCAGCACGCGATAACTAGAGTATTTAGCGTGAAGCCGAACGATTAGTCTACGTCTCCTTACGAAGGCGTATGAAGATTAAATCCAACAACAGCAAGCGCGAGTCAGGCCAAGAAGAGGCTGTGTAATCCACATCGTCACACCCGTCGAACAGTGGCATGCGTATACGCGCCGTGCAACTCTGATGTTCCTTGAATCAGAGAGTGCGTTCGATTATGTCAACCGGATAGTTCTAACATGCCTGTGCAATAGGGTTAGCCACAGATCGTGACTATCGTGCATTGTTTGGGTTCACATGCGTATGGGCGCATTATGCGTTCCTACAGGCAGTGGTCATAAACATCGATTCGATACCGATCCCAATACTCAGGACTCGGCAAATACCTGGAAGCATTGGTTTTGTACCTTCACAAACTTCCTAGTCAATTGGTTCTCATTCACCAGATAAACTGAAAGCCTCGTTCAATCACGTTGCCCCTAGTGTTTACCGATTCATCAAAGAGTGTAGAGAATCCGAATCAGCTATCAAAACCTTGCGAGAAATTTACGTACAATCGAAAAATGGAATTTTTGCCCGGAATCATCTGAACACTTGTAAGCAGGACGGAGCTCAGAACCCTGATCAGTTTGTGCAGAAGCTTCGCAGATTGTTGCCAGACTGACTTCAGTGCAGAATAACAGCGACGATGCGTTACGAAACTCATGTATTAATAGACTTTACTTGAAGACTACACGCCAGAGACTGCTGGAATATTAGTCACCGCACACGACCGCATGTAAAGTCCTTCGAACTAGCGCAGAAACAGTTGTTGCCGAACAATCAACTCTCATGTGCTACTGTGTCGAACAACCCGCCAGTCATCGGCTCCGGGAAGGGTCCCCAAAGAGAACCCTACGTCCTTCCGCTGCCATGTGGGTCAGACCTGAGTCAAAGGCTCAAGGTGGGGTACCTCAACCAAATCACCGTCCTCGGCCTGGGCAACCGGGAAGTAGCATTTGCCCGCGAGGTTCGGTGTCTACCGATGTCCCTCCCCAACCCTGTTCAACCACACAAGCGAACGTCATGGGTCACCTGACTAGCAGTTACCTGACCGAAGGGCCTTATGCTCCTCGCCGATTACTAGCAGTAAACAAAATGATACCTCGTCTAAATCCACGAGATCCTTTCAGTATAGGAGATTTTAACGTCCGTGTCAAATTGGCAGACAGGCAATGCCTACTGAGACATCATACTCCCTTAAAATTGATGTATGCTGTGTTCCCGAAACACTCATACAAGACTCGAGCGTAGTTATGCACCTCAGAACGCCAAGGATGAACTCAGCTCTTTCACATTTCTCCCTCCGTGTGTCCGGTGACCCGGAAGCATTGACTCATGGAATATATGGCGTGAGAGTCGCACTCAGCCCCACAGCTGAATGCGCTTTGCTGGATTGGATCCCAGTGAACAATCATCTTTGCGCCGTCCGGTTATCTAGTTCAATCAAGCTCAATGCCTCTCGGCATCGGCTTACGCCTCAACGGCCGTAGTTCTGAGGCGGAGAAGGATATATTTTATCGAGAGCTATCTGGGCTGATTTGTCAAGCAAAAAGCACCGACATTGTGATCCTTACAGGCTATCTGAGCTCCTTGGAATCACATTTGGGCGGTCGATTCGGAGTCGATATTCGCCGCACAGACAACGGAGATCGACGCCTTCAGTTGTGTGCTGATCATGAACTACTTCTGACGAGTACGAAATTTCAACATAAACGTTCGCATCGCGTAATCTGGAGGCCATCAACTGCAAATCAACCGTGGACCCAGTTGGACCATGTGGCCATCAGCCACCGGTAGAGCTACAATTCAAGACTGCCGTTCCTTCTGGGGCACACCACTCGATTCCGATTACGCCATGGTGCGTGCAAGCCTAACAGTTCGTTTCCCTTCGCAAGTCAGCAAGAAGCATGCCAATCCAGTCTTCGAAAAACTACCATAGCTCAACAGTATCGATCTGAGCTAGCCCGACAACTCTCCACAGTCAACCAATGTGGTGGCAGTGAGCATGCTGATGAAACTTGACAAAACGTGAAAAAGGTCGTGTTGGCGGCCACAAAACTACTGGATGTGATCGAGATCGCTAACCATGATTGATGCCAGTAAAGCTACAGCAGCAGGCAACGAGTTCGACGGCGCACGCGAATCCCTCAAATGCCAAATAGTGAAGAGTCTAAGGAATGACATTTCGAAGAGCAGTTTAGCTGGCCTCCTGCAGCACAGAGTACGGAGATGATGCAAACGGGCGAATGGAGTGTAAACCTTCATCGCCCCTCGGAAGAGACAGGTGGGAAACAGCCCCACTAAAACGTGAGAAGGCACCAGGACCGGACGGTCTGTATCCAGCCCTCTTCAAAGAAGGCGGAAAACCCCTGGCGACCCATCTGACAAGGCTTATTGGTACCATATGGGACGAAGAGGTGCCTGCAGAATGGGGCATGTCGACGGTTATCCCTATCTTCAAATGGCTCTAGTGGTTAGAGCGCGAAATTCCTGACCGGAAAGGTCGTGGTTCGAATCCGATCTCTGCCACTCGACTTCCCCTATCTTGGCTTGGGCAACCTGGCAGTATCCCAGCCCTCGTCCTTCTTTCGGGTGGCATGGCAGCTTGGCACCGCAAGTGTGCTACAACTGAACGATTATTATTAGTATTATCTTCAAAAAGGGTACGCAGACGCTGTGTGAAAAACACCGTGGCATCAACCTGTTACATGTGGCATCGGTGCTCACTGGCCTTATCCTTCGAAGGTTGACTGAACACAGGGAGGCAGATCCATGAAAACTAAGCTGGGTTCCCTCCGCATCGATCACATCTTCACCCTCCGGCAAGTTATGGAACAGTGACACTGCTTCCAGCAACCAAAATGGTTGTTTCTTGATCTGAAAGCTGCCTCCGACTCTATGGACCATCAGGCACCATTGCAGTGTCTGTGGAGCAAAGGTGTTCCCATAAATTCTTGACCCTCATTAAGGCGCTGTACGCCAACTCCCGCGGCTGTGTGAAGGTTTACGGGAAGCTCTCGCCCGAGTCCACCACATCAGGTGGTGTCCGACAGGGCTGCCTTCTGTCACCTTTCCTCTTCAGCTTCGTCAATCTCGCCCGAGCCACATCAGGTGGTGTCCGACAGGGCTGCCTTCTGTCACCTTTCCTCTTCAGCTTCGTCATTGATGCGATGATGGTAGGCAGGCTTCATCATCATTCAACGACAGCATGACATCAGTGTTCAACACCAATGCTTCACTGCCGTACAACCATGACTTATTTGAAAGCCTTATTGTATTGTAAGGAAGGGACTTAGTGCTAGCTTAACACAATCAACCTCCACACATTCACTGAGGCAATCTGGATAGAAACTGACAACCAGAACGCCACTGACATCGGTTGGATGCCATATCTTGTAGTGTCTCCAACCAGGCACAGTGAGGATCACGCGGGTCCCCATCCGGAAGGCGAGTAGCGCCGACAGCACCCAAGCCTTTCGTGATCTCCTTCATAGTCCTCCGCCAAGTCAAAGGTTGGCCACCCTTCTGTTTACGCCACTCTGAATTGGGTATGGAAAACAGCACTCTCTTCGGCAAACGATGGTTCGGCATACGTAACACATGTCCCAACCAACGCAGCTTCTGGTGCTGGACACATTCTTCAATGGAAGTACCTGTTACACAACCGAAAACACGCTTTCTAACTGCCTCATTACGGATTCGCCGACACCAACCCAAACGAGC